GCAGCCCAAGCAGTACAACCACAACAAGACGCGACACGGATGATCCATCCCATGATCCATCCATCCATCCACCCATGGATGGGCTGATCGATCGGTAGCTGTTAAGACACAATACCTGGCTGCGTGTCTGGTGTTGCTGGTGCTGCGCTGCTGCTGACGCGAGCGGCGATTTTGGGATGGGTGGGCGGGTGGGGGGAGGGGGTAGATGGCAGTGGCGAGGGACGGAGGGAGGGAGGGGGGGAGGAAGTGCCGTGCTGTTAACGGCATATTTGTGTGTATCTGTGCGTGTGTGTATGTGTATTTGTGTGTATCTGTGTGTATTCATCTCTCTCTCTCTCTCTGTGGGTGGGTGGATGGATGTGGGTGTGTATCATCACTTGATCGACCGATTGATTGATGCGTGTAATTCATCCCCACACACAGACACTCACTCATCTGCGTACTATCTGATCAGATGAGAGAGCGTTTTTGCAGAGCGACACACTCTGACAGAGAGAGAGGCAGAGAGGCAGATTGACCCACTAAGTTGTTGTTGACCCCTGTGACGTCTGTGCGCGTGTGTGAGTCTGTGCGTCTGTCGGACGAGCTGCACGGCGCCGTGGCTGTGCAAGCATGAACAGCCGCGGCATCGTGCTCCTATTCTGACACACGCATGGACACACACGAGTGCACATGTGGAAATGGTTACTTGCTCGAGCCGGACGGGCTGGCTGAGGGCGGGTGTTTTTCTGTTTGTTGCTGCTGCATCACACGACACGATGGATGGATGGTTGTGTTGCACATGTGTGCATGTGCGTGTGTGGTGTGGTGTGTGGCCAGACTCATATATATATCCATTTGGCACTCTCAATCGATTAGACTGCATCGCATACACACACACGACATATACAGGGCGTCTCGTATGTAGTAGTTCCATCCATCCATCTGTCTCATTCATTCATTTGATTGCCACTTTTCACTACAGCATCGCATCACGCACAGCACAGCACCCACTCAAACACACACACACGAACCATCGCACTAGGTGTGGGGCGACGAACGCCATTTCCTCTTCCTGTCTGTCCGTGTGGCTGGACGAGCTCGAGAGTAGTAGAGACGAGCTACGAATCCATCCCTATCTCTCAGCGCGGTACATCAATCCAATGCAAAGAACGCTATCTGTCATAGGTCCGTACAGCCCTCACGTTACATCCACACATGTGCATGGCACACACAAGTTCCTATCCTCTTCATCGAATGAATGGCATATGGCAATAAGGGCGGTAATATCAACAGCGGCGAGTAAGGCAAATACGGCGAGTAAGACAGGCAGGCAGAGAGCAGGGCAGCTTTCGCCCTCACAGCAGACAGACAGATCGGTGGCTACACCACTCACCCTCCATGCCCACCACCACCACCCTACACATGCGTGTGAAGAAGTACAGAGATAGAATTACTTACACACATGTGCGTACAGACCGGACCGACCCACCCACCATCCACCCACTCACAAACGTGTGTACAGAACCGTGTCTCTAGACGAATGTGTACACAAAAGAAAAACGACCCCACCCACCAAACAAAAACGATGATGCGATGCGCTCACACAGAAACAAATATTTGGGCTAGAAAGGCACCTGGCTGACCGTGTGAGAAGTGGGTGTGGTAGTGATGGTGCTGTGTGTGTCGCCTCTTTCCCATGACTCCCGCCCTCTCTCTTTGCGTGTGAGTGTGTAAGGCGCAAATACAAAAGTGCGTGTGAAGTGAGGTTCTCCTGTCTGCCCCCCTCTCTGCATCTTCTGTGTCTCATCTCATCAGAGCAGAGCATTCACACGCGGTCTTCCTTCTTGAGTGTCTTGGTCTTTCTAGAGTTCCGGTTGATGATGGCGTTGCCCTTTTCGTTGATGATCACCACACCCGAGTCGACCACGCCTGTGTCGTCATCGGCATCGTAGTCGTCTGCACACACACACAGGGGGAGGGAGGGGGGTGGATGGATGAATGTGTGGCGCGTGTGTGTGGGAGTGTGTGTGGTGTCGCTTGCCTTTCGGCTCTTTCGGCTCTTCCGGGCTGCGCAAACACACACAGAAAGACACACCAACACCAGACAGCGCACACGCAGAGATGCACGTGTTGACAGACGGATCTGAGTGTGGATGTGGCGTACGCATTGGGGACAGACCCGCCCTTGTTGACTGTGGTGTCGGTGATATCGTTCTCGTCCTCAGACACCCCATCGTAGTCGCCCGACGTCTCATTGGCGGGACACGCACAGCACTCCTCCTTGGGATCGGTGTAGCCACCATCAAGAGGGTCCTCCTGGCCGGCGGGCAGCTGGGGAGCATTAGGCAGACCTGCACACACACACACACACACACACAGAGAGAGAGAGAGAGAGAACCCCCGTGACCATCAACGTACTGCTGTTCCCTCCATTGCGGTTTCCCCAAAGATCGTCATCACGGCCGCCCCGACCGCGCTTGGCAGCGTATTCGAAAGAGTTCTTCAGGATAAGGTTGAAAACCGGCTCCTGCGCACACGACACGTACAGGCAGACGCGCGAAATGACAAGAGAACAGAGAGTCGCTCGGTTCGGTTCGCCACGGCACACCCTGATTTCGATGTTGAAAACAAAAATGTCTCCGAGGTTGATGAGGCCCGCAACAATGTTTCCACCAATGATTGCGTCAATACCCTCCTTCTGTGGCTCCGACAGCTGCACCCAACACCACAGTGACAACACACAAAACAAAGTGGCTGGCTGGGTGCGTGCGTAATTGGGTGGACACCGACTGCCTGCCTGCTTTGCTGACCTCCATCTTCGGGTCGTAAGGCCAGCACCGCCCCATCATGTAAATCTCCTTATCGCCGCAGTACCCGGGCGGTTTCTCGGTAGACGTCGTCGTCGGCTCCTCCGTCGACGTCGGCATGTCCGTCTTCTCGTCCTCACAGTCACACGGGTCACAGGGCGAGCACTTGTCGGGGTCGGGGCGGCCGCCGCCTCTCCCTTGATTTGTCGTGCCCTGCAGGAAGCGCCAGAAGGCGTCCACTGACGAGGACGCGTCCGTCGCCTCGGCGAAGGGCAGCACTGACCACACACACCACCGACACGGAGAGACACGTGTGTGAAGTGATCTGATGTGCTGCGGTGTAGAGAGGAGAAAAAAGAGGCAGAAAAACAGCAGGGCGTGTGTGTGTGCGAGTGTGTGGCTCACCTGCCGCCGAGGCAAGCAGCGCCAGCACGAGCGAGGAGGCCTGGAGGGACCGCATCTCTTTCGCGCACAGGAGAGGAGAAGAAACCAAGCAGAAGGCCGGGAAAGAGGTTTTCTCCAAAAGAAACCGGCCGGGAGGGCGAAAGAGGGCTCAAAAAAGAAGCAAAGTAAAAAAAGCTTTCCGTGGTCCGGCAACGCTGGGTCGCGAGAATAATGGCCGCCGTTTCCCATTGTTTCTGTCATTTCTTAACTGACTGTCCGGCAACGGCATTTTCCGAATCGCCGCTGCGTTTTTGGGTTTTCGCTCTGTTTGCCTTTCCTTCGGCCGTCTTTGTCCCTTTCCGTCGCTTCTTTTCGCTTTTCTCGGGTTTTCCCTCGCTCTCTTCCTCCCACACTAGTGCTGCCGCCGACAGTCACGATGCGCGTGTGTTCTCTCGTCGCCGTCACGCTGCTGCTCGCCGCCTCAGGTACGTCGCTCACAGCACGACGAAGGCAGAGCACCACCGCACGGGACATCACTCTCTGTCTGCCTGTGTGTGTCTGCTGTGCCGCTGTCCGCCTGTGTGCTGTGTCTCCCCCGTCTCTGTGTCTCAGTGTCTGTGGCGCTGTGCGAGGAGAAGCAGCAGGAGGAGCAGCAGCAGGCGCCCTCCCTCGTGCGGTCTCTGGCTGAGGACGACGCTGTGAGCGTCAAGGGCAAGAAGCCGGCAGCTGAGGACAAGGAGGATAAGGATGTGCCTGCGTGGAATGGGGACGACAAGTGGGGAATCCCTGACGACCTGAGGCATGAGATCAATGACTACATCAACCACATGCTGGAGCACGCATACAAGCTCCAGAACATCGGCTACTACTACCGGCAAAAAAAAGTCGAGTGAGCACCCCACCCTCACGCACACCCCTCTACACATCAGTGCACCATAGGTCGTGTGTGCTGTCTGTCTGGTTGTCAGGCTGGAAGGATTTGGTCATGCCGCATTCTACTACTTTAGAATGCTTGTGACGAAGGTTGATAAGATCATCAACTACTTGCAGAGGTACGTGGTGTCTGTGTTTGCGACCATCTTGACCCTCTCCCTCTCTCCCTGTGTGTGATGTCAGCCGTGGTCATCCCTATGTGCCCCAAGCCATCGAGAAGCTCTACTACAATGACGATCCTTACAAGGTCTGCAAACGTACTTCGGTGTCTGTGTGCTTCAAGTGACCTCTCTCTCTCTCTCTCTCTCTCTCTCTCAGCCTCTCTCGACCTACAAGGATTTGATCTACTCATATGTCGAGCTCTACGAGGCGACAAAGAAGGTGAGAGGCAGAGGGGGGCAGACGGACTGACACACTTGGGGATGGGATGGATGTGTTGTTGATGTGTGTCCGTTCAGCTGTATTACGCAGCCAAAGAGCACAAAGACGCCATGTGCACCGCGTACATCGAGAAGAGCCTCCACAAATATGTATGTCACACCCGACACCGACACACCCACCCACAACACACATATCTGACCCCTCTGTGTGTGTGTGTGTGTGTGCGTGTGGCTGCCCCCTCCGCTCCCCGTCCACACACAGATGTACGTGGCCAACTATCTCAGCGGCTACCTCACCACCATCTCCCACTACGGCAATGACCACGTGGGCATGATGAAGGTCAATTCCGTCCTCTACAAGAAATACAGCCTCGGTGAGTGTGGCGGTGTGCGGTGGTCACGGCAGACGAACGAGCGGCTGTTGTTTGCCTTTGTGTGTGTGTGCACCGGCATGCAGGTGGGAACGGCTACAATGGTGGCGGGGGCTACAATGGCGGCGGGGGCTACAATGGTGACGGGGGCTACAATGGTGGCGGGGAGTGTGAGCAAATTGAAATATATTCCGATCCTACAGTCGTGGAGTAATCGAGGAAATGTGAGACGACATTTGAGTCGGTGTGATGTGTTTGAGCGTTGGGCTGGTGTGACTTGTGTGCCTGCGATTGGCCGCCTTTTCCTTTTGTGTGTTCCTTCACTGTGTGGTGCCTTTCTGCCTTATGAGTGTGGTGTGATGGTCAGTCACCTTATCGTCAGTCAATCGGTCCATGGGCCTGGATGGATGGATGGATGGCTCTGTGCCTTCCTTTTGTGTGTTCCTTCACTGTGTGGTGCCTTTCTGCCTTATGAGTGTGGTGTGATGGTCAGTCACCTTATCGTCAGCCAATCGGTCCATGGGCCTGGATGGATGGATGGATGGCTCTGTGCCTCTGAGTGGGTGGAATGGTCCGTCTGCCGACCAGCTGAGTGTCTGT